ACCCCCAATCCCTGCTCCCCCGCCCCCAAGCCAGCCCCCTTTCCCTAATTAAACAGAATTTTGTGTTCTGGACAGGGTAAAACCCATTCCATTTCTGGGCAATCAGGCTCTTTTCCTCTGGGCACAAAATCATTAGCATTCCAATGAAGATAATTTAGACCAGCAGTTTCTAAACTTTTTGAGCTGAGTCCTTCAACTCAGAGGAAAATAGACGTCACTAGAGGGGATGGCCCATGAATTTGAGTCAGGGGGTGAAGATGGTGCTTCCTCCCCATGTCCTGCCACATGGAGCTGGTGTCACTGCTCTCGGACTGATCAGGAACACAAATGAGGAAATGTGTTTTTTACAAAAATTCTAGGACTTTTAACCTAGCAGGCTCCCTTTAATTTCCCCTCTCTCTATGTTGTGAAAGGCTGAGGTTGGCGAAACAACGTTAGAAAGATGAACTTGATGACAAAAGGCTTCAGTGAGCTCCAGGAATTGAGCAGCCGAAGGCAACAGATGCCGGTATGGAAGCTTCCCAGCGGTAGATCTACACTGAGTAAATCAGCTCAAGCCATCAGATGCTACTATGAGAACCAAGTACTTAATACGCTGCTATTTTAATCTCTTGCTAGACATGATAACATGGGATTTGATTGGGTAGCAAAGGGTTAGAAGGTGCTATACACTATACGCCTTCTGGTAAATACCGCACAGGTTGGCAGCTTGGGCAGCAGCTTCTTTCAGGCTTGAGCACCCAAGAAAGGAAGATCCCGTGAAGTTGAATGGATTCTGCACACTGCAGGACCAAATCATATGTCATTTGCTTACCCACAGAATATTGGTACTTCTTAGGGCAAGAGCAGCACACACCAATGGTAATATGCAGATCATGGCAATAAAGGGATGTTCATTCCCACTGTGCACTTGCAGTGCTCTGCTTATCTGCAAAGTCAGACTCTCCCTCCGATGATTAAAGTTGGCATTTCAAAAGGGGTTGGGCATGGGATCTGGGCATTAACTGCCTTGAAAATTGTAGCTGAAAATAAGTAGGAGAGAGGAATTTAAGCATTTGATGAACACTTTCTTAGGCCTCATCTACTCTCGCAAGGTACAGTGCAGTAAATCAGCTCCCAGTGCTGTAACTCGCCAGATCACACTGGCAAGGTGCCTGTCCCACAATGCCTGGTCTCACCTGTCCGGTCATCATTTCAAACTCTACTGCCCTGACCCAACTGAATAACCCTCAGATCTGCTGTTTACATTCTTTGGGAATGTGGAAAGTCCCCTTCCTGTTTGCTCAGTGATGCATTCTGTGTTCTCAGTGCATTTTACCGGGTGACCATGCCTGCTCTATGCTCCAGGTGATCGCCCACTTGGAGCAATGCTGAGGTGCTGGACCTCATCAGTGTTTTGGGGAGAGGAGGCTGTCCAGTCCCAGCTGCGCTACAGCCTAGGAATTGTGATATCTATGGGCAGATATCAAGATGCATGACCGAAAGGGACCCAGACAGGATGCTCTGTAGTGCAGTCAAAGAGAAGTTGCTGCGGAACACCTCTCCCAAGGCGCAGGAAGTAAATTGTTACTTTGGTGCTGGGCTCACAACCTGCTGGTTCTACAAAGAGCTGAACACGATACTTGGGGGTGACCCCACAACCACTGTGAAGACCCCTGTGGATACTTGTGGGGCTGTACCAGCCAAGAGTGGGCTGAGCCAGGAGGAAGAAATCGTGGCTGAGCATGCTGATGGGGAGGGAGACCCAGAGTCAGAGGATGACTGGGGACCACAGAGATATGCAGTTGGGTGCTCTTTTCTACTCCCGAGGAGACTAGTCAGTCATGGCAGTTGGACTCTGGGGAAGTACAAACAGCAGAGGAATCTCCTAGTAAATGACTTTGATGTTGGGAATTGCTGACACCAGCAGGATGGTTGCAGAAAGCAGGCTAGGATTTGTGTGGTGCTTGTACTGACACACGCCTAGTTCGAGAGACAGAACAGGCTGTTGGACTCTTTCATTTCATGGTAACTGGCCTGAGAGATCTCCATGAAAGTCTCATGGAGAATCTGGACAATCCGCTGCTGCAAGGTAACAGTGGTGCCTCTGTGAAGCCAAAGTGCAACATTTTACAGAAGTAACCTTGGGATTCCGGCCTGCCTTGCTATCGCTGGCTGAATGGCTGCGCAGAATTCGAAAGCGGCCTCGAAAGTGTAAAGTGGACCTCCTGCGTGATGTTATGCTGCAGCCTGCTGCTGAAAAGAAAGACTTGAAGAAGAGGTGGGAAGAGAGACGAGGGAATGGAAGGAGAATGCAGAGCACCAGAGTGAAGCCAGTGAGTGGCTCTTAAGCATGATGGAGCGCCAAGCAAACACGCTCCAAGCACTGTAGATGGATCAGCTCTGCGCCCATCCTCTCCTGCAGCCTGTGTCCTGTAACGCTTTCCCATGCACCTCCATATCACCACCAACACAGTTTGGCCACCATCCTTTCTCCAGTTGGCACCCACTGCATTCCACATCTCCAGCCCTGCAGGCTCTGACCGGTACCCACTGCACTGACCCCAAACTGCCTCCAGTTTAGCCCAAAGCGAAAGGCTGCCTCTGGTACCCGGACATATACAAGTCTGTAAACATTCCAGGGCTGCCTGCGTGCCTCGTCTCCATCCGACGAAGTCCAGGTGTGTTCTGCTGTGTGTCTCCGTGCATCCATGCATCGATTGGGTTTGGTCTCTGGTTGTTCAAATTCAGCCTCCAGGCACGAGCCTCAGTACTTCAGCCCTGAGTGTCGCTTTCATGCTTCCCATCACCAATATTATGGGGATGCAACATGTGGCTATAAGCACTGGAATGTTGTCATTGGCCAGGCCCAGCCTCCCATACAGATACCACCAGTGAGCCTTTAAACGATCAAAAGCCCCTGCCATGGTCATTCTGCACTTGCCCAGCCTATTGTTGAACCACTCCTTGCTGCAGTCAAAGTTCCCCGGTTCAATAAGGGGTAGGCAGGGTCGCCCAGGATCACCAGGCGTTTTGACTTCTCCCTCCGGTGACTGTCTGGTCTGGGAAGAAAATCCCTGCTTGCAGCTTCCTGAACAGGCCTGTGTATGAAAAGATGCATGCATCAAGCACCTCTCTGCACCAGCCTGCTTTATGTCTGTGATCCACAAGCATCTGGAATCCCAAGGAGAAATGCCCCTTCCAATTATCGTACTCTGAAGCTAGGGGGACTGGTGCCAGAACTGGAATATGTGTGCCATCACAATTAGGAAAGCCATTTGTGTAAAGCCAGCCACAGTGTCATGCAATGTTGCCCAGAGTCACTGTCTTTTTAAGCAGACTGCAATTAATGGCCTTGCACACTTCCATCAGCACGAGTCCAATGGCTGACTTGCCTATTCAAGCTGATTGGTACTGATCGGTCGTCATCGGGAGCAGCCAGCTTCCTCAGTGCAATTGCTGTGCACTTCTCCTACCTGCAGGATGGCTCTTGTTCTTGTGTCCTTGGCTGCAGGATGGGGAGTAAACTCATCAGACATGCCATGAGCGTGGCTTTTCTCATCCGAAAGCTCTGCAGCCACTTTGTCACCCCAGACTTGCCTGGCAACATGATCCCACCACTCAGCGCTTGCTTTCTGAGTCCCAAAGTGACGTTCCACAGTGGTCAGCATCTCCGTGAACCCCAGGAGCAATCCCATAATATAGATTTTGCGTGGGGCAATGTCAGACTCTTTTCCTCACTTAGCAGTTTAAGGAATGACTCAATTGCCATTCATGATGTGTCAGTGAGATCTATTAGCATTTTCTTCAAGAGTTCGGGATCCATTTCTGGAGACGGAGGAGGCAGATCACACAGCAAACAAGCAGTTGAAACGTGGTGCCAAATGGAGGTGGAAGCAAGGGAGTTGCCGGGATATGAAGCAATGCATCATGGGGCATTGGACAGGACTCAGGATGCCCCACAATCACCCCCCTCTGAATTCCCACAAGCCTCAGCATTGGAAGAGGAAGAGCTCCTCTGTGGGATAACTGCCCAGAGTGCTCTGCTCCCAATGCCACTGCCAGTGTGATCATGCTACTGCGCTGGCTGCTGAGAGTATGAACACACAAAAAAGACATCTTGGCATTGGAAAAAGTTCAGAGAAGGGCAACTAAAATGATCTGGGGTTTGGAACAGGTCCCATATGAGGAGAGATTAAAGAGACTGGGACTTTTCAGCTTAGAAAAGAGGAAACAAAGAGGATATGAGAGATCTATAAAATCATGGCTGGTGTGGAAAAAGTGAATAAGAAAAACAACAACAATGAGCAGTCCTGTGGTGCCTTAGAGTGCGTCTAAACTACATGGCTCCGTCGAAGTGGTGCCTTAGGGTGTGTCTAAACTACATGGCTCCGTCGACGGAGCCATGTAGATTTGTTTGTTCAGCAAAGGGAAATGAAGCC